ACTATCATGATAGATACTCCCAATGGTTAGTATGGGAATCATTACTGCTTTTCATATTCTATCATAATAAGGGGCAGCCTATAAAAAACAAAGAGGGAAACAAGGGATGCAAACTATTTTTTCGCATAATTTGTTATTGAATACAGAGTATGGGAAAGAAATATTACTTTCTTTAATAGTGAATGCTTATCGCTCACCCAAAATGGTAAGTTCTTTTCTCAAATCATAGAAAAAAGAAACAGCTAGAGCACACCTTCAAATAGTGTCGAGAAATGTGGTTTCAATAATGAAAATCTTTGTGATAGCCTTAAAATATATTTTTCTATCTAATTATAAACTTTAAAGCTTAAAAAATAATGTAGATCGAGCAGATCTATAAAAACTTGAAAATCTTGAAAATTGACAGTCCAAAAATGCATTACAAAATGCACTATTTCCAAAACTTGAAATCCATATTTTTCTAGTGTCCATGCATCTTGATGTCGAGATGATCAATTTGAGGATATTTGGGCATCAAAACGACGTCTTCTATTGAAAATTTTGAGGTGGGCTCTAATGTAATTGTTTAGAGCCTCGGCTCTATATAAACTTTTTCCTTTAATAAATTCTATTTCCATTTGATATGATTGATAGCAAATACAGCTAGTTCTGATTATGATTGATAGCAAATACATCAAGTTTTGATTTTTAAATTTACAGCAAAAAAGGAACAATCTAGTGCTTGTTAATACTATTTTCGTTACTGCTTTATTGACTGCTCATTGGTCAGCCAAAATAGCGAATTCTCCTTTTACAATGCATAGAAAAAAAAGAGAGTCTGCAGCTAGTTAATGAATGCATGGCTAGCATATAAAAAAGAAAGAGTAAGCTGCTTGTTAATGAATGCATGGATACTTTCCAAAAATGTAGCGAGAGAATTGAAAGAGATAGATAAAAAAACATAAATAGAGAGAATCGGGAAATGGGCTGGGGTCACACTTTAGTCACCACATTGTGGTTTCCATTCCGTCTAACACCACCCCACTAACACCTTCAAAAAACTAACTCCTAAACTATTTGAAAACCCGGGTAGGGGACTGAATTACCCAAAAAAGAAAATTGAGAGAATCCACGCATGTCAGATTTGGTGTTTCTACATTAACAAAGAATCCAATATCCAGAATTTTTAACTCAAAGAATCCAAGCGAATCCAAAAGAATCTGTTGGTGTTTCTAAATTAACAAAGAATCCAGTTTCCAGGATTTTTGAACTCAAAGAATCCAAGTGAATCCAAAAGAATATGTACGTGTTACATGTATGGGACCCCTTTAGAAGAATCCATGTAAATAGATGCAAACACAGATTTTGCATCAGAGTCCTCTTTTTTTTGTCATGGCCCATGGAACTAGAGATACAAATCACTATCTTAAAGTTTACATGGTCTACTTTCTAAAAGAGAAATACCTCCTACAATAGTTTCTAAAAGAGAAACACCTACCACACAACTACGTTAAAAATTTTAATTTTTTTTAATCTTAATTACAAATTGCCCAATCAGCTCACACAAACTGGAAACAGCATAGCATTCAGGATTTGGCTTAGCATTCAGGATTTGGCTTTGTCCACAAGCCTTGAAACTATGAGTTTAAAGCACTATGTAGTTGCAACAACCATCAAACATTGTAAACTGAGCGTCAATAAAGAGCAGGACGTCTACCTTATCAGTCATTGACAGAGTAACAATCAAATAAAAAGAAGCTCACTATGATTAATATTAACATATTACTTGGACAATGATATCAAGGTCAGATCAGCTGAAAACCAGCTAAGCTGGACATCCAAAACAAGGAAATTTCCTTTGTAAGCCTTAAGGACCGTATCTATTTTTACTACGCATGCACATGTATTTCTTATGTGGACCGCACATACTTGTGCTAGTTTCATTATCTTTCCTTGTCATGCAAATATTACAGGATTTGACTAAATACTCAAGAATAATTAAATACCCATTTTTGACAGGTATTCAAATACAAACAATGTCTAACAGATTTCACATTAAAGAGAGGGTTTATCATTTATCACTAATCAATCCCCAAGCCCATTCTCCACAAGCTAAGGGTGCCGGCTTCCAATGGCATACCGTTGACCAACGTCACAGTCGATTAGTTGGAGAAATATCAATTTACGAAAGCTGGAACCTACCGCACTAACGAACTGATCCTTGGCCCGCAGAGAAGTGAGTCATGATGCTCCTAGGTGACTCCACCATAAAGAAATGGCATTGCCACTGGCTCCCCATCCATGAATAGTTATTCAGGAAGTAATTGTAACAAGTTCAACTCAGGATTTCTGAATATCATGATAGGAAAAACGTCATACCCAACTTGTACATACTATTTTCATAGTTAATAATCATTTTCACAACAATTTATTCAATTCTGATTACTAGAGAACTATCTTTTTGTTGCTGCAACATACATAGCATTTTCAAACCTCTACTAAGTATCATATCAATTAAGTAAAGCTACAAATTATATCTTTTACCATAGTGTTAAATTGCATATTCAGTAGCAACATATGGCCTGGCCTAATCACACTATTCACCACCACAATTGACTTTCCAAAACAGATGAAGAGTAGTAACAGGATTAAAATCTGACAATGGATAAACTTCAATGAAACATCATTCAAGTACAAAAGAAGAATCAAACATACTATGCTTCATCACCACACTTTTGTCTCCTCCACAATGAATTCCGAGTTATGATTTCAGCCTCAAATGCTAAAGAGATTATGAAGGAGATCACTGGGATCAAAAGTCCCATGGATAACAGTTTCAGGTCAAGTCTCCATCGAAAGAGAGAAAAGGGGAAAAAGTAACGCCCAAGTTGAAAAGATCCCATATAGACCCAATAAAATCTCATAAACCAGTAAGACACACCAAACTAGTAGACACACCAAACTAGTAGACACACCAAACTGTCAAAAGAAATTCAGATTGATAAAAAGAAATCACAATGCATAAAAAGATAGCCCCAGATGGATAGACACATGCAGGAAAAACCATACGAAAAATTGAAACCAATAAAATGTTGACACGAACTAATTAGAATTACCTTGGGCATGGATTGCTGGGAGATTCCACCTTCTTCTTCCTCCTGCCCTTCCACATAAGCTATTGACACAAATATAAATCAGTTTTATATCTAATATGCAATTAGAAATAACAATTCAATACTATCTTCGGTAATTAGCAAGTGGAATGAGATTTTCTCATATTACTTACCCACATTGACATCAACACCAAGAGGTCGTTGATTAGCCCAAGGAGAGGGGGCTTGCTGCAAACAAAGAAAACACTATGACTACCCGAAAACACAGATATTTGTCTCAGATAAATTCGTTTTTGCTTCTTCTTTTATAAAAAAGAGGATACAAGAGAGAGGAGGGCCACACATTAAAAACCACATTAATATGATAATATCAGAGACAGTAAGGGCAGTCTAAGGAATTGCAACTCATAGTGCTGAAATATTATTATAAGTTATCAAGAAGAAAAGGAGAAACCAACCAATACTACAGAAGACGAGTGGAAGTTACACTTTATACCATGTAAGGACTGGGGCGTGCACCCTTTACATCCCCACCACTCCCAGTATCATGCATTGGACCATAATCACCAGAACCTGCAGGAAGGTATTGATACACTGCAGGCTCCAGATTCCCAGGCAAGGGAGTCTGAATAGGAGTCTGTAAAGGCGTCTGTGAAAAAAACAGCAAACACAAATCAACAAGCTGAACCTGAGATGTAAATAATTGAAGTAAGTTCATGCCCAAAAAGAAACTCAATATTTCAACATTACAAGGACTGAATTATTGAGATGGAGCATAAAGCCAAAACATGTCCTACTTCAGCTAGACAGTTAAAAGTAAAACCATGAGCAAGAAGAGAAACACAACGTTTCATCACCAGAGTCATCCAGCCCCTGCGATCCACATCATGATTGTCTCATAGGTCTTATGTTATTTGTTATGTTAATCTTTGAAGTTATTGTCAAGTTTATTTGTTATTATTTAATATAAGTATTATCACATATAACCAATAAAGCACAATTCTACCACTTCTCCATGATGTTTTTTTATATTCAAACTAATGATATTTAAACCAACGCATTCTAAAGAACTAAGCATTCTTTCGAACAAGGCATGTGATCCTACAGGACCCAAGGATTTATACCTAGACTTATGGAGCAGCTGGACATCATTTCTTGTTTTCAAGGTACAATTCAGTGTACCGGCTTAATAAATTTGCATACTAATTGATTTGGGAACCATTTGTCCTCTTATCTTTTTCTTCTTTATAAAAAATCTGACTCTGTGACCCCCCATCACTCCTCTACTCTTTTTTGTTTCCCTTTATTCAGCTTGTGATGTACTCTATCTTTTCGATAAATCGCACGGAGTAGACATAACCCATAAAAGATAAAACAAACAACAATAAATAGATTGAACATTGTTGCAGGGAAAGAGAATAAGGTTCCTCTATCAAGAGAAAGTCCCCCATTGCTTCCTCTCAAGAAAGGGAGTAACTGAATTAGATTCCTTGAGCAGAAAGGATGGGAAATAGCTTCTCAATTCACCTTTGCAGAAAATTTCATCCATGATATTAACTACGCTCGGGTATAATCCATTTCTAGGCTCCTTCCACAATGAAGAGGCACAAGGAAAACAAAATAAGATGCAAACCCCAAGTATTGTATTGTTCAAAAGGATTGTAACAATGAGACCGTTATGATTTGTACACTAAGGTCACCAACACCCCAATCTGTCAAATGTAAAATCTGATGTTGCAGTGAGTCATTTCTGTGCACATGTGAACAAAGTTCGAGTAGAAATCTCTAGGACATTGCATGGTCAATGGTACACCCCCCGCCACCTGGTGTCCCACGCCTAAACGTCTAACAGCTTGAGATTGTTGTGACGTGTCCATGCGAAAGGCAAACAGTCTTAATTATGCTTAATCTAACCACAAAATTGGATGTTGCAGTGCGGCATTTCTGTGCACATGTGAACAAGGTCTGAGTAGAAATCTCTAGGACATTGCGTGATCAATGGTACACCCCCAGCCACCTGGTGTCCCATATCTAACAGCTTGAGGTTGTTGTGTCTCGTCCATATGAAAGACAAATGGTCTCGTATTTTACCTTGTTGAAAACAGTCTTAATTATGCTTAATCTAATCGCAAATGGCAGCAGGCCCTGTAAAGGTCTTAAGAGTTTTACTAAAGCTATAACTAATTAAGCACACACACTCCCCACCCGGGGGCCCCAGGGCCCCAAAAAATCCAAAAAAAAAAAAAAAAGTACCCTAAAGACCATGACATTGAGCTAAGAAGCCCTAACTAACTTCATGAATGCTCACATGTGCTAGCCAAAATGCTAACAACAGATGAGCAGATTTGGCACCGCCTTTACTTGTAACCGTTAATTTATCTGTAGGAATACTTCAAATTTATAACGGAAATTTATAATGGAATTTTTTAATTCTCAAAAAACAATAATGGAAATTTTGCTTCGGCAATGCTGGAAAGTTCCATGAGAAAAAAAACAGTCTGCTTTATTATATAGTTCATATATGCATGGCAGACCTTATATCTATTAGCCAATGTATGCTTGAAAACAAAACAAAGCAAAAAGCACACTGGGCTGTTACATCTATATACTTTTACAACTTTTAACTTCCCAAAAGAATTATTTTTTCCATCAAAGAAAGAGAGAAACAAAAAAAAGAATCCAACCAAAAGATAGAAAAAATGCTGTAGTGTAAAATGACCAACTAATCAACAGATGTAGATTAAAAAACCAACACATACCAGCATAGAATTTCACAAAGTCAAAATACAAGGAAATTGGGCTTACCGGGGGAAAGAGCATCTCAGCTGTTGGAGTTTGATACTCTTCCGATCCTTCATAGGGCACATTCAGATCATGGACAGGGGTTATAGGGCCAGGCATTCTAGGAGCACAGTTCCTATCCAAAGGGCCTTGAATTGCCCCGCATTGCATCATCTTCAATTCCCAAAGCTAGTAAATTCCGAAAATAATGAGGCGATATACATCACAAGATAAAAAGAAATAATTAATATAGACATGATATTGTATATGGCCAACTACAGGTAAATCAATTTGCTAGATATTCAAACATGAAAATCAGTGTGACTGCAGTGTAACCACCTACCTTTAAATAATAATAATAATTAACCGAACCCATAGCTTAAGTCTGACATGCTTACCAATTTACCACACATGCATAAGTTTCACTTAGTTGGCATGTAAAATTAGGATTCGGTGAATAACTAGCAAATTTCAATGCATCAGCCTGATTCTATCAGAGAAGAAGTACAATCTTCAGGACCCAAAAAAGAAAATCAATAAAAAACACTCAATCATATCACGTTGAATCTCTTAAACCATGGCGATCAAGAGAAACATGGATACAACCCATGTCCACTTCGATTATCCATGGAAATTGACTGTAACAACACACTTGTTAGGCTAAACATTCAGTAACTCTAAGAGTGAATGAAAAAGTTGAGAAAAAATAAGAGGGATAAAATGCCCAGGGACCCAGATCTCCAAAATCAAGAGACAAAAAACCAAATATATCATAAAGAAAAAACGCAAGAAAGTGTAAAAATCAAATAAAATTAAGAGATATAAATCTCTGATGGAATAAGACCCAAATGAGGGAAAAGAAGAAGACAAAACAATAAAGGAAAAAACTTGCAGTAGAGAACATAAACAATCTAGCACAATAAACGAAAACCCTAACTCCATCAAGGCATAAAAATTGAAGGAAATTCAAAAATAAAAAACCAAATCCCAGACCCCTCACATATCCATAACACGGAATAACCAATCAAAAGGAAAATCAAGACCAGAAACTTACAGATTGGAGCTCATTAAGAACATTTTCATCAGCACCAACATTCACAAACTCCTCTCGCACCTTATTCACCACATCTTCAATAACATGAATATACACACCAGAGACCCCTCCATTTGCCATAACTTCCCGATCAATGGCTTCCGAGAAGTAGGGCTTTCAGTTTCTGAAATGAATAGATAGATTCAATGAGTTCTTCGATCAAATGGAGAAAGAGAAACTGCATGTCGAGTCCAGGACTTCTAATTCTAGATAGGACTTTAGGGTTTCAAAGAGGAGAAAGGGTGCCTCAGGGTTGGACTCCCTGCGAGTACAGAGAGAAGAGAAGAGAAGAGAAGAGGAGAGGGACAGGGAATGAGAGAGAAAGAGAAAGAGAGAGAAAGAAGAGAGAGAAAGAGTGGATTATAATAAGAGAGAGAGAGGGAATAGGTTGGAATATAAATAGGTTTGCATCCGTTTAGAGAGAGAGAAGGTCTCACATGTCCAAATCTGCCCGCAGGTGTCGCTATCGTTTCTGGGGATGAGACGCCGTACGGTTTTTAGAGCGGCCTCGAATCGTGATTTATCCGAAGCTAAACATTACACGATATGTGTACAGTGAATTGTGCGCGATACATGGGAAGACGTGTCTTTGGGCTACCCAACCGATGGTAAGATCTGCCGTTCGGTGACGGTGCTCCATGTACTCTTATGTTGCGATTCGACGAGAGTATCATGCGTTGCTAATCACCGTTAATTCATGAAGACATACAGTGGATGGTTGGTTTGTGTGTAACTTGCATCGTATGCAGTAAGATCATATGTGATATGTTCTCTATTTGGTAATTATTTTGAAATAATTTGTGTTTAGTGAAAAAAATGAGATGGATGAGACTTTTTCTAGTTAAGACGATAGATCAACCATCATGTAAAAAGACTATAAGGTTATTCCAGGAGAGAATTTGACTACCCAATATACGCTTATGGTTACAGATGTCTGCATAAAGATATAGAAGAGGAGTGAAATTAATAGATGTCCAAGGCCAAATGGTGGAGTTTAAAAAATGAGAAAATATATTTATTTAAGGATAAATTAGTTAATGAATGATAAGGGAAACATAACTCAGAACATGATGTCAATGTTATGCAGAATAAGATGACTGACTGTATTAAAAAAGTGGCAAAATTTTTTTTAAAAGAATCTAGAAGAAAAAGAAAAATCCGATCAGGAAACTTGGTGGTGGAGTGATGAGGATCAGAAGGACATTGGTAAAAAAACAAATATGTTATAAAACTTGGTAAGGTAATAAAAATAAACAAAACTTAAAATAATATAAAAAGGCTAATAAAAAGGCTAAACAAATAGTAAGTAAAGGCTAAACTTAAAACATATAATGATTTATATAGTAAATGGGGAACCAAAAAATATGAAAAAGATGTCATCAAATTAGTAAAAACAAGATAGAAAAAGTGTAGGAATTTAGATCATATTAAATGCATTAAGAGTGAAGATCAAACGGTCTTGATGAATGATGAAGAATTCAACAAAATGTGAAGAGTCCATTTTCACTTATGAAATGATGAACAGAATGGGAACATAGCAATAGAGGGAACCGTTAGCATAAATAAGGGTAGAGGTCATAGATATATTCGTATGATTGAGATATCGGAAGTAAAAGAAGTTCTGAAAAGGACAAAGATAGGACTTTAGGACTTAATGATATTCCGATAGATGTTTGAATGTGCATGGGGAAGATTGGTATTGACTAGCTATCTAATATGTTCAACAAGGTGTTGAGAATTAAAAAAAATACCAGACGAATAGAGGAAAAGTATTGTAATACCTATTTACAAGAATAAATGAGACATATAGAATTGTGCGACCTATTCAGAAATCAAGTTTATGAGCTATACTATGAAGCTGTGGGAGAGAGTGATTGAGCAACGATTAAGGTATGAAACGAGTATATCAAAAACCAATTCAATTTTATGTCAAAGAAGTCAACACTCGAAGGTATTTTCCTACTCTAGCAACTGATTGACAAGTTTAGGGCGAAGAAAAATGACCTCCACACGATCTTTATTGGTATAGAGAAAACTTATGATAGAGTATGACACTATATCGACTTGGTGAGAGATATGTACGAGGGACGTGAACTAGTGTACGAATAACTAGTGAAAAAACGTGTGAGTTTCCAGTGACAACATGTCTATATTAAGGGTCAACATTGAGCCCATACCTCTTTATCTTAGATATGTATGAGTTAACTAGGCACTAACAAGATGAAGTATCATGATGCTTGTTGTTCGCGTATGACATAGTTTTGATAGATGATACCCGAAACGCCATTAACACAAAGTTAGAACTTTAGAGGGATTCTCTAGATTATAAAAATTTTAAAATTAGGGAATTGCATGTTTAGTAATAATAGGAGTAAAGACGAGGAAATATTTAATATTGATGACCAAGAAATACAAAAAAGAACACACTTTCAATATCTTAGGTCGATAATATAGGAAAATGGAGAGATTGAGGAAGATATCGCACATAGAATTAGAGCTGGATAAACGAAGTGGAGATGTGCAATCAGAGTGTTATGCAATCTCTACATACCAATGAAGCTGAAGGGCAAGTTTTATCGAATAACTGTGAGACCAACTTTACTTTATTAGGCAAAATGTTGGGCAGTAAAAGAATAACATGCCCATAGAAAAAGTGGAGCTGAGATGAGGATGTTGAGATGGATGAATAGCAAGACAAAAAAAGATAGAATTCAAAATGAATACATTCGGAAGAATTTAAGTGTGGCACCAATAGGCAATAAAAAAACAAAAAAAGTAGACTTAAGCAGGATGACCATATGTAGTGGAGACCTAGTATAGTACCTATTAGGAGGTGCAAGTTAGTTCAAGTGGAAAGCTCAAGAAGGACACAGAGTAGGCCCAAAAGGACATGGTTGGCGGTAGTGAGAAAAGATATAGAAACTTAAGGCCTCTCTGAACCCTTAATAAAACAGAATGTCAGATAAAGATTCGTTCAGTTGACCCCAGTTAGTTGAGAAAAGGACTCCAATTAGTTGAAAAAAAGCTTTGATAATAATGATATTCGTAATCATTTTTAAAAGTTTATTGTGCTTCCATCGCAAGTCTCTCAAACTTCTTTGGCTACATTCAGAGCCATAAGATTTAGAAGAAAAAAACGATCGCACTATTTAATTTGGAAAAAAAAATCTGTTTATTTTGAGATCCACCTCAAAGGTGGGAATTATTATAGTGAAAAGAGGCAAGCCAAAACACGCCTTAAACGCCATAGATTATTCAAAAGAAAAAAGCAAAATCCTAAGTCTTTTCCTTCTTGGTCTTTGGGTGAGCTTTCTTTTCTTCACGAGCATTGATCCATTCCATAAGGAGAGCCATCTGGGCCTCTGCCTTTTCCATGGCATTCCCTAGTGGAATCTTTGATACTTTGAGCCTCTTAAAGGAAGTGATGGAATCCACCAAGCTCCATAGTTAGCTGCGGAAGAGGAGGTTTCTCATCCTTCTTGGAATGTACTGTTCCAAGAAAAAGTATTGAAGTGAGTAATTTTTCAGAGTTAGGCCTCCATGGATAAATCAAGCGATGATCGATTGATTTAGAAAAAGAGACAGAAGTCTGGCACAACCCAAATTGATGAACAACCCGGTGTGAAAAATACCCTTAAACTAAACAATGGGCAGCTAAAATAGGCAGGATTGCTCAAGTCCAGGCAAGTTATAAGAAGAATCTTCATGACTGGGCATGATCCAAGTAAATTGTTTCAAGTTATCCAGCGTCTTCGGGTAACAAGATCTTCATGATGGGATGCATCACCTACATATGCCAAGCCACGAGCATCTGGGGTACACTCGTAGTCCCTGACCTACAGAACAGACAAGGTTAAAAGATCAAGAAGCTGAAAATGAAAATGCAGAGGCCGAAAGGTCGCAACACCACAATTTTCGGTGCATTAAGGCACTGATTCACACCGCGAAGCACGATAAGGAAGAGCAACACCCTTTGTAACTGCAGAATCTCATCTGAGAGATTCAGAGATATAGAAAGCAGTGAAAGTAGAACACGGTTTCAAGAATTTTACTTGTAGAATAATCCTTCACAACCAGGTCGTGTAGGCCGCGGTACATATGCGCAATAGTAGCTGCGATGATGTTGTTAACCAGTTTCTGCCAGGAAGTGTAGACGGGGTGAATATAGGGAGTTTTTCACGTCTTCCGGTGATGAGAAAGAAAAAAAAAAAAACAAATTGATCAGACAGAGAGAGAAGATAAGGATCTTCTCTTCAAGGCTTGGCCGTCTAGATCTTCAATGGACCTCTTATGAAGAAGAAAGCGGTCGCGGAGAGTGTTGAGACCGATGTTCAGCTGATTTGTGAAGTTGAGAAGGTGGCTTAAGAATTCCTCATGCTCATAATTGATGGACCCATCCATCAAAATGAGAAGGATCTCAGAGGGTGTAAGGGAAACGTCTGAAGAAGAGGACTTGCAAGCCGAACACCTCCACATGAGAAAAAGTAAGAGGCCTCCAAACCTAACTGACTCATCATCACTTGTCATGATAAGTTTGTCTTTAGAAGACATGTTGATGAACCTGCAAAACAGAGTTAGAAGATGAAAAAGGCTCTTCAAAGTTTCAAAATATAAAAAAAAATTTCTCTTCAAATGACTTCTAAATTCTTCAATTAAAAAATAAAAGATTCTTCCAAAATCACACTTAGGCTCCCTGGTGACATGAGCCTAAACTTCGTGACCACCTCATTTATTGTTTTCAAAAAAAGAAAGAGAAAAAAATCTCTATTTTCCTTTGAATCATCTTCAGAGGTCTGTGGTCACCAAAATAAATTTTCTTTCTTCAAAAATTTCAAATTAAATCCTCATTATCCCATATTTTTTTCATTCCTTTTTATTTTTAAAAATAAATTTTAGTGCCCCATGGTTGCAAGGACCTAAACTACTAACCGGCATCATTTCTTAGACCATTATTTGAAAAAAAAAAAAAATTTGCCCTATCACTTTATTCCAAAAACTCATTTTCAAGTGCTCCTTGGTGGCACGAGCGTAAACTGCCAACCACCTTTCAAATCAAAATCAGCTAGTTCTTGGCATGAATCCAAACGACCACCCTTTCAAAATCATTTTCAGTCAGTTCTGGCATGAACTCAAACTACCACATCAATTCAAAATCATTTTACGTCAGCTCCACGCATGAGCCTAAACTGCTATTTCTCGAGCTCAAAAATGTCTAGCACCGTATGATGTAAAATGTTAGTTGTATCTTTCAAATTCATTAGAAAACATGACACTAAAATGCTTAGTTGGCTCCATAACTGCATGGGCTAAAACTGCTGCCTATTTCTTTTTCAAAATTTCTCCCTTT